CTCCTACTTCAAGCTTGAAACCATTGGTGTTATTCTCAAAGCATTCACTCCGGACGAATTAAACGTGATCCACCCTGCGGTTCGGAAAATTGTTAGACTTGTACCACAAAACCGCTCATTCGGGAAAACTTGCCCACTTTCTCCTAACGAGGCAGCTGAAGACCGACAAAAGACACGAGCTCTGGTTCGTATTTGGGGGTAAGCCTATCAAATTCTCTCTATGGGAGTTTGCGATTGTAACGGGGTTGAACTGCGAAACCATTACCTTTCCATCTCGCGATATCATTCAATGTAAACCTGGTCAAGTCCCTTACTGGTTCACCCTTTTTGGGGGCAACGAAAACGTCACTGGAGAGAAGCTAGAGGTCATGTTTAGGCTCTCTAAAAACCTCTCTAGCGAGGTGAAGGTAAAATATGCATGCCTCCTCCTCGTTGATGGATTGTTATGCCGCAAATCGGCAGGCATGAAGATCCCGAAAGACCATGTGGAGATGATTCGTGACCTTGAATACTTCCGGGACTTCCCATGGGGGCGTCATTGCTTTGACATGACAGTTCAGTGCATTAAATCCCGCACAATCAACCAGCTAGCACAGCCCACGGTAGCTGTTCAGGGTTTTATACACGCGGTCCAGCTAGTGCTGCTGGAGGCGGTTCCCGCATCGCTGGAAACACTGGGAGAAGAAGGCGATACTGACTTCGAAGATGACGAGTGTTTGTTAGCTAGCACCCTCAAACTAGATAAGCTCTGGGATCTCGACTCTTCTGGACATGTAACACCATCACAACTCCGTGTGAACCTCTATATTAAGTTGTACATATCTATCATACAAATATCAGAGTCGTTAATGTAGATTGTTATATTTCATGGCCATGCTCTATAATTCACTATGTCGGTATCTTATTTAGGTATTGGTCACTCCAATAATTCCAGGCGAGGTCGTTTGGAACTCAGAAGTTGATTTGTCCTGGCCCGACGAAGCTGAAGATCCAAAGGTGGATTATATGGAGATGCTCATTGCAGAAGGTGCAGAGTTTTGCAGGGAGTCCTTCCTTGGCGGTCAGTTAGCCGATGCGCCACCCCCAAAGTCGAAAACACAAAGTCGAAAACGCAAAGCGAAAACTGCCATGAAGGAAAGGTCTGTTGGGAGTTCTTCTCGTGTCAAAAAACAAAAGGAAAGTGAAAAATCACCAATTGCCGCTGACAAAGACGATTGCCCTCCTAGTACGATAGAAATCGTTTCAGAGCAGATTAAAGCTGTATTGAAGAGGGCCCAAGCCGCGATGGTTAATTCACTGGTCTCATTAATGCTCGCTATGGAGACTAGGATGGAGAGGAGATTGAATGAAAGAATCGACAATCTACTGGTTAAGCAATCCCAATCAGCCAAGGCCAACCAATTTATTGGAGAAGTTATCCGAGACATCAACGACGGAATACCCACAGAGCAGTCACCCCCCGTTGTTGTTTCTTCGAAACACCAAGAAAGCAACCAGGGCGACAGAGACGCACAGACCACGGAGGAATTGGCTCACGCAGGGACAGCTCCACACGCAGATGCGCTTGACGTTCTAGCAGAAGGAAATCCCCATAACAATTCAGACACTATGGGAGCACAACAGAAGGCCGCGTCTTTGCCGGTTGCACCCAACACGGGGGCGTGGCAGACAACCCTAAGTTCATCGCACTAACAATAAACGCTTCACTGGGAAGGTATATTCCTTTTTACCTATTAAGTAGTGAATATAAATATCAATACTCTCATGTAGATCGCTATAGAATTATATAGGTACATAGAGTATATGGCGCCGTAAATGTATATAACAGCTTATCCGTTAAATTTCGTGGTCTAACTTTTGCGTAGGGTACTACAAGTGGGTGAGAGACTGCCTATCAGGGAGCAAGACTTACTCGATTTACCTAACTCCATACCGCCATCCCGCCCTGAGGTACAGAATCACCGGCACTTCACTTCTATCTATGTGATTAATAAAACCTTATGTACGACCTGTTGGTTGTCGGTAGGTCATGGATGCTTGCACAATGATGTTACGAAAATCCAGGCTCGCCTGTTTTACACCCAACAAAGATAACAAGGCTGACATTCTACCCAGCAGCTGGGCTGTCTCCATGGCCAAACACTTCCCCAAATTCAGCCGATCGAACCGGAAGGAGTCGTTTGAATTTGGGCAACCCATCATGGATATTGTATGCGGAAGACCCAAAATGTGGATTAGAGACATCGACTTCGTATACTTTCCATTTTTTGTAGACAAGAACAGATGGGTGGGGTTTATGATAGATATACTATCCTCCAGAATGACGGTGTTTGATTCATCTGCCTCAGAGAGGCGTGGAGCGCACATAGTCCCGGAGCTGCAGTACATCTGCCAGATGTTTTCGTACCTAGTCCACAAGGCCACAGGTGGAGAGGGAGTGGTTGATTATGGACTCGAACCCCTCCAGATTAAGAGAGACACAGCGGTTGTTCAAGCCACGAAAAGAAATACTACGGAGATGCTGACACTCATCATCATAGAGGCGCATGCTGCCGGCGGACTGCCTCAGGCGTACGAAGTACACGAAGGAATGATCGATCAGCACGCCAAGGAACTTGCCGTGTTGATGGCAGAATATTGCGCCGGTGTTGTCGGCACTCCTTAGGTCGATGGGGAATGGGAGTACTCTGGATGTCTGTCTAAATTTAAACTTGATGTTTCGTAAGCGTTTTAACTCTGCTCGTTTTTGGCGATTGTATTGTACGGTCCTTTAGTGTCGTTGTGTCTTTTGTGGACAAAACTAATTCACTCTAGTCCCTACATTCAAAAGATGTGGTTTATGTTTGCTACAGACAAAATCAGAGTTTGCTTATTCAATGTTGACATCTCTACTATAATGGTTAGAGCAACAGCGATGCAAGGTTTAGTATATTATACTGCATTATATTAGTAGATAGATATTCGGTTAACTTTCATGTACGTCTACATACTGACATAGGCATCTATAACAGCGCTAATAGTTATGTAATTTGACTCGGTTTTGCATGTTAAGGTCTGTTTGTTTTGTAATTTTGTTCGGACAAAACTAATTTACTGGCATGAAACTCTTACATAGTCCTGGTTCATGTTTATTATAAACGAAATTGGCACTTATTTGGTTTTTAGTTGACAATAGTAACTATACAAGGTCACTGAACACGTATAAAATAGCATAACTCGATATATCATTTTACAAGCTGCTTAATTATCTACATAGCCTTACTTAAAATGATTAGACGAAGGTATTAAACTTAGATATTTCACATTAGATGGCGCCCTGAAGGTATGCCCGACATACATAGATTGCCCTCTTAGGGGGTGAGGTTCAATTATTTTACAAAGACATCCACTACAACTTCCATGAACTTTAGCATACTGAGAAACAGCCTCTGGTGATGCATAGCAGCATCCGTGGCTGTGGCGGTGGATTTAGTACAAACGATGAAAGAGCCATTTATTTTCCGAGCACACAACAGAAACTTGAAGCCGCAGAGCTATCATTGTACATGGGAAAATTGGAAGCTCCATTCTACTGAAAATTCAAAACAATTGCATTTTTATTGGCAGGGATAGAAGACTGAAATACTTCTTATGTCAATGTCTCAAACGCAATTACCATATAACGCAGAGAAAGATCATATGGGCAACTTACAGGACGCGCGGTTATGCCCAGTCCCATTGCAACGGCTGCACTTGCGGAAAACCTTCTTCCCCGGATACTAAATGTGTACGTGTTAATTAGAGTCAGTAGTAGACAGATATGTGTAATTATACATCGATATAAATATATATAGCACTACACTAGATATCTTATACTCTCCTGTTGAGAGGTATCTACTACGCTTTGGCGCCTCCTCGTCTTTGGTGGGTGGACATTTATCGCAGCCACCTCGGGGGGGGGGACCGCATTTAAGGCAGGCACCGGATTTATGCTTTCATGATAGGCGAGACGCTAGTAAAACATCATATACTCTGCAGCCACAATCATGGGGATATGAACGTCACCCTTACTCGCTGCTGCAACAGCATGACAGCATGGTATCTTTAATTGGCTAAACTCCTCACACGTGCACGTTTTGTGGTGGAAGTCCGCATGGTAAGATAAGCCGGTACGTGTTTTTACTTTGTAGTGGTCTTTATTGATTTGTAAAACATTCCAAGCCGTGAACCACTTATAGTTAATATGAATGAGCTCTCCCACTTTCGGAGTCATCGGTGAAGTATGGTTCTCTGGCACATCTCTCCTTTTGCTAAACCAAGACATGAGTGTACCACGGATGAATTCTAGCATAGAAACAATTGGCAACTCCCAAGCTTCTTTTAGTGCGGCGTTGTACCGTTCACCATCATAATGAGACCTTGTCCAGGTGGAAACCTATGGTGTTCAAGTACTCAGCACACTCCGGTGACATCCCCTCAATCTCTGCAAAGTACTCGTGGAAGGTGGATCTCCGATAGGCACGAGCTGCTTTGAAAATCACACCCACCAGGGCCTTGTTTTTAAACTTCACCGCCACATTCCTTTGTAGATGCACGATGCATGCTCCGTGTGTAGCCTTTGGGTACTCCTGAATTTTAAAGATACCGGGCACGCAACCCCACAGCAGTTAGAATGCAACGTAATTAAAATATTGGTGAAGAGTAATCACCCACAAGTAAATATAGGCAGTTATATTTATTTATACCTTATATAGCCCCGCATAGATTGACGAATACCGATCGGAAACAAATGCCAACGTATCGTCATCGGGCACAATATGCCTGAAAAAGCTTGACAGTCCTTAGATTCTTTATCTACGAGGGCACAAGCTTATCTCACTCAAAGGAAGGTTTTAGTATTCCGTTTTGTTTTGGGAGCCCTTTATAAGATTCTTACGAATGCCTTGTAGAAAAACAGAAAGTTTGTAGTACATATTACCTCATGAATACAAGAGCATTCCTGTTTTTTTTGTTCGTTACATTTATGGTAAGACAGGGAGGTCTATGGAACTGAAGGAAAAGAAACTGACACGTCCCTGAGCGATGTGACAGAACATTAACGGTGCAGTTACGCGGCTTTGCAGAGCTTTAATATCTTCTTTGCTTGGTGGAGAGTCCCTGTGAAAAGAGAGGATTTCCGTATATATTGAGTAAGATGTTCAATAAAAAAACTTGCTTTCATAGTTAGAACCAACGAAAACAAAACGCTTACCCCGAGAAGCAAGCCACAAAGCTCGGTTCACCAGGACAAGACTTCTTGAACCTGCTGTTTGGCAAATACACGTCAAACACAGCTCTTGCATCACATAGCTGCATATCTCCCAAGAGTTTAGTAACATCGTCCTTGGCTTCAGTACATTCACCGGCACAAACCGACTCTTGTTCACCACTTGGTGTCGAAATTGCGGCAGCATCCTTTGACGTCCAAGGAACTCCATGCCTGCTTAGGATGTAACTAGACCCTTTAAGTATCTATAAACCTCGTAGTTTTCCCAACAGCAGCCGCTTTTTTCCTCTGCAACTTTCTCATACAAGTCCTTCAATGGGATCACTACGTCATCATCTTCACTACCCATGATCTGCAACTCTCCTATTTCACTCAAATACCTGAGAACAAATGAAGAGATTTCATCAGATGATTGATCAAAAACTGCAATCTAAAGTAACTTTTCCTGTGTTTGGCACATACAGAGCCTCTTCTATGAAGCAAAAAGTCTTTCCGCTACGGACGATTCCAGTTGTTGTCCAAAGTTTCCCTCTTTTAACCTCAACTTGAGCCATTCCTAATTCGGTAACCCAACGAGCCTTGGAAGATCCGACTCTACAATAATGCAAACACTCGTAAAGCGACAAAGAATGACTGTAAGAGACAACTAAATCCAGAAACGAGTTGCTGAAGCTAATCTACCTGAATTGTAACTTGGGTCCTGAACCAGTAAGATGAAATTCTTCGTCATCATCGACTGCATAATCAGCTTCGTCTTCGCTCGAAAAGGAAGCTTCCCAGTCTTTTCCCTCCATAAGCTTCCGCCGAAGAAAATCGCTGGGGCAATCCGTCGAACAGTTGGCGTACAATTAGATCCGTCTCCTTTAAAATTTCGCAGGTCACTCTTTCTTTAGTACCGAATCGAGAAATAAGGAATAAATACCCCAAACCGAACCGGATTAGACCGCCTCTTGCGAGTTAAATGCGAAGAAGGAAAGCAAAATGATTCAGAAAGTTTGAAATTCCTAAACCCTTCCCCATTCCCCTTTCTCCTCCCACTGCAGAGCTCGAATCGAAATATCAATGGCGAACGACCAGGAGATGAGTGGATGGACTGATCTTCTCCATTCTTCGACGAAGCTTCTCGAGCAAGCGGCACCTTCGGCTCAGTTTACTCCTCTTCAGGTTCTTTCACTAACCACCACTCTTTTCGATTTCGATTCTCCGTTTGTTTGTTAGGAATTTTTTTGCTGTTGGTCTCTTTGGATTGAGGCTCTGTGCATCTTTTTCTCAAAGAGTTTGATTCGTAACTGTGTGGGTGTTTCTTAGAGGAATTTGGATCAATTGGAAGCATTGTCGAGGAAACTTAAGGCTAAAACCCTAAGAAGCGAATCTCCTTCACAGTCTATTGCTGCCACGAGGTACTATTTTCTCGTTTCATGGGTTTTGCATTGAAGCATTGGGTGCGAAACCTCAGTTAGGTCCGAGGAGCCAAATGCAATATTTTCAGAAATTGTGGTCTTCCGCTGTTAAAACTTTCATTTATGGTTGGATACAATTATGCAGGCTACTTGCACGAGAGGGAATCAATGCAGAACAATTGTCTCGTGATCTAAAGTCATTTGAGTTGAAGGTGAGCTTATGTTACTCTGTGCTTTGGTGGGCTTCTTGGGAGATAACTCGGTCTCTTGGTGGTTTCCTCTAGGGAATTATATATTTTTGGCTTTGGTCAGATACTTATTCTATTGGTTTTACAAGTATGTGACTCATATTTGTTGTTGTTGTTTGCTTACTCATCTTCAAGATTTTCATGAACTTCTATACTCTTATTATTCTCAGTGCTACTGAATGACCTTTGCCTAATTTTTTGTTTTCTTTGGTCTGTAAAAGATGACATTTGAGGATGTATTCCCTGCCGAGGCAACAAGTGTTGAAGACTATCTGCAACAGGTGTTCTGTATTTGAAAATTCCCTATTTTAGATTACAGATAGATCCCTTTGGAGATAACTGATCGTTCCACATGCATTATTCTTGTCTCTAGGTTCATGAAATGGCAATGGTATCGGCTATACAGGAGGCCCAAAAGGATAGTGTTCGAAGCTTTAATGATTATATGTTGAAAGTATTGGAGGTCAGTATTGTGATTACTTACCAATTGTTTTGACTTGATCTCCTTCATGTTAGTTTTATACGTCTTATCTTCTTCCTTCAATCAATATAGTCCCCGCCTTTTGGTTCTTCTCATTAAAGGTTTGCACACAAAGATTGGTAAATGATATTAGCACGAAACCATGTTAGTTAATGGATTGTAATTTGGAAATTCTAGCGTAAGATTCGTTAGAAACTGGTTGAGTGCTTATTGCAAATTTGAAAAAAAAAAATTCCGAATTTATTTCATGTCCCTTCTCGTATATTCAATGTGAAATCCTCTTTTGGCAGGAGGACTGTAGAAAAGAAAAACGTGACTTCCTTCAAAGTCTTAGCAAAATTTCTATAAAACCTAAGACCAAGATGATCGATACAAGCAGAGACAGTCATGCTGGTCAACTAGTGCCTGTGGCATTGAATCCTCAAGTATCTTCTAAGGCTGGAACAGAACTTGCGTCTCTGGCTAACGAACCAATTCATGAGAAGAAAGCATATGTATATGCAGAGGTTGTGAAGAAACTAAATTCTTCAAGAGAACGAGGCTTGCCATTTAGAGTATGGTCTTCCTGCACCCCCTTGTGTCGATTTTAAACGACGTCCTGTTTGATAATTGGCTATTGCAACGGAAGATTATGCATTTTTCCTTATTGTCTTTAGATGTCCATCTGGATTGTTAGAGAATTCTGTACCCGCTTTATCTTTTGATGATGATTTTCTTTAATGCAGCATTAACTCAAACTAGGTTTTTAATTCGCGCTACGCACAAATCTGTATTAATAATTTGGTTTAATTTTTTGGTTAATATCTTTTAAATTATCAAAACTATAATATATTTGTAGAAATTTTATTTTATATAAAAAAACTGAAACATAATATGTAGTATTTCCTATTATTGTTTATAAAATTATAAATCTTATTAAGTAAAATCATAATAAAGATACTTAACGAATTATCCAACTTCGATGTGCATATGTTTGATTTAGAAAATGATTTTCTCATTAAATTTTTGGTGTTTTATTTTGTATCCTTAGGATTTCTATGGTTCTTTTTTTAAAAAGGTTTATATGTTTAAATATTTAGTTTTTTTACTAAATGTCTCACTAATGTTATGTACATATACATATATAATATGATATATATTGATTCAGATTTACTTTTGTTAGTAAGCTACACTAATCGTGTAAAGCTGCTTTTTGCTTCTCCACCAGATCTTCTACGAATTTTTGTTTATATCTCTATTCAGTTTATAAGATCTGTTTTATTTTCAGTCAACAATTTGCTAATATTAATTTTTGTTAATATTTGCTAATATTTACACTAATCCGGTGCATTTAAGGCAGGCACCGGATTTATGCTTTCATGATAGGCGAGATGCCAGTAAAACATCCCATACTCTACAGCCACAATCATGGGGATATGAACGTCACCCTTACTCGCTGCTGCAACAGCATGACAGCATGGTATCTTTAATTGGCTAAACTCCTCACACGTGCACGTTTTGTGGTGGAAGTCCGCATGGTAAGATAAGCCGGTACGTGTTTTTACTTTGTAGTGGTCTTTATTGATTTGTAAGACATTCCAAGCCGTGGACCACTTGTAGTTAATATGAATGAGCTCTCCCACTATCGGAGTCATCGGTGAAGTATGGTTCTCCGCCACATCTCTCCTTTTGCTAAACCAAGACATGAGTGTACCACAGATGAATTCTAGCATAGAAACAATTGGCAACTCCCAAGCTTCTTTTAGTGCGGCGTTATATCGTTCACCATCACAATGAGACCTTGTCCAGGTGGAAACCTATGGTGTTCAAGTACTCAGCACACTCCGGTGACATCCCCTCAATCTCTGCAAAGTACTCGTGGAAGGTGGATCTCCGATAGGCACGAGCTGCTTTGAAAATCACACCCACCAGGGCCTTGTTTTTAAACTTCACCGCCACATTCCTTTGTAGATGCACGATGCATGCTCCGTGTGTGGCCCTTGGGTACTCCTGAATTTTAAAGACACCGGGCACGCAACCCCACAACAGTTAGAATGCAACGTGATTAAAATATTGGTGAAGAATAACCACCCACAAGTAAATATAGGCAGTTATATTTATTTATACCTTATATAGCCCCACATAGATTGACGAATGCCGATCGGAAACAAATGCCAACGTATCGTCATCGGGCACGATATGTTTCAACTTCTGGAAAAACCATTCCCACGCCTTATTATTTTCTCCATCCACGACCGCAAACGTTAGAGGGTAGATTTGGAAGTTACCATCCTGTGAACTCGTCGTCAACAAGCACCCCGTGTACTTGCCTCTAAGGTGAGTTCCGTCCACAATAAGCACGTTACGCATGAACTGCAAACCATGGACACTACCACCCAGTGCCACAAAGCAGTATTTGAAGCGCTTGTTTCCGGTCTCATCTTCTTCTGTTTCAATGGCCGTTACCGACCCCGGATTGCTAAGCTCCAGCAAATGCATGTACACAGGTAAGAGGCTGTAGCTACCAGCAGCAGAGCCATTTGCCCTATCCATAGCCATCTCCCTCGATCTCCAGGCTTTCCAATAAGAAATGCTAACGTGATGGTGCTCCAGCATAACCTGTACTACTACAGATGGGTTTGGACCTCGCTGCTCCCCCACATAACGCTCTCTCATCATTTCGAAAATGACGGAAGTTGTGGCTTGACGGCGAAACTGCCTACGCACATCGACGGGACAATTGTGATCCAGGGTTGCAGTTTGAATTTGAAGGTATTGGGTATCTTCAATACGAACAACGTATACCCTCCACGGACAGGTATCAGAGAGGCATCACACCACCACGTAGTCATTGTTGGACCTCTCATTACGGTAACTGAATCTCCTATTTATGGCATGGACAGCTATCTTAACTTTGCAGTCTCGTTTGTTTTTGAAAACACGTCCCAAATACAGCTCGCCCCCCTCGTATGCCACATCCAATATGACATTTTCAGTCCGATCCAATCCTGTGAAAAGAAGTCCATCAAACAATTTAAATGTCCATCTGTTAATGTAAGGGTTCATTTAATTTTATTTAAGGACCAGGCAACCTGGACAACTACAATTTTCTATGACTATCCATTAATATTCATAGACATTTATACAATAGAATAATGTGTCATTTATTTTCGGACCAGTATACTCAGATAACACTACATTATTCTTAATGGACCAGTATAAATTCTTCACAGCATCACAGATCGGGGACATTATGTACCTTCATCGTTAGAGTCATCTAGCATTGGGGCTGCATCCATTGCAAACAAGAATGAGGGTATCCCATCAGGCGGTAACCCACCCATCTGGTTGACAAAACCACCCGGGGGGTTAGCGTTACCTGCGACGTCCTCAGCTTCGTAGCCTGTGACCACAATAAATGCTCCATAGATTAAGGCCAAATGGAGTAAAAAATCAGGTACAGATCTGGGAATGAGCACTTATTACACCCCTGATAACGGTAAGTAATTCCACATTTTTTTCTATTCCCCTTTTCTTATTATAAGTCAATAAAAAGTACACGCGGACACCAAAAATCACACATGTCTGAGTATCTGCTCCTGATATCCCTCCATTCCTTTTGTCCCCCCTCACGTGCGCCTACGCCACCATGCATACATGTCACACTAACCAATGAGATTTTTGTC